ACCTTTTAACACTTTTATTTTATTACTTATGCTTGTTTCCTGTTACTCATGCTCCCCACTCTTTAGAATGTGAGTCCTGGGATGGTAGAGATCTTTGCCAGAGAGGCACCAGTGGATACTCATTGCATGCTGAGTGGACAGCCAGGACTGAAGAGGGATCTACGAGGTAAAGGTCTTTTCTAGTTGGGAACCACTGACCCCAAAGAGCACTGGCCTGGGGCCTCTTAGGGAACTTCCCCACTCTGTTCTTAAGTCTCTGGCCAAGGCCAGGGTCATGTAGACATCATGCCTGGCATCCTGCTGGGGTACCTTTGTGGGCCCTCAGACCAAAGCTCCGGGACACCCAGCTCCTCAGCAAGGAGGATACAAGAACAATATTATTTACTAGAGTCAAGTAGTCCTATGCCCAGATGTCCCTCTCAACAAACCTGGGAACACTGAGTCAGGTGTCTTGAGAGAAGACTCTAGTCTCTGCTGAATTCCTTAAGAGTAGAGTCAGGTACCTAGCAGGTTCCCTGTCCCCACGCCCAGAGGAGCCTCTCCTAGCTCAAGAATTCACTGTGGTTCCTGGGAAGGGGAAGGAGCAGAGTGACTCTTCAAAGTACCAGTTTCCTCTGAGAGGCAGGGCGGGGAGGGAAGGTCACCTCAAAGGGAACTGGGCACAGCCCCATGGTGCCAGGGCACAGGGAGGGGACGGTGTCCTGGGGAACCCTGGGAGCCAAGGCTGGAGAAGAGCAAGCAGCACCGATGGCCCCACTGGGGGACGCCCCTCTCCTGCCCCACACTCTACTTTTCCCTGAAAACTGCTCCTGGGTAGGGGAAAACAAAGTTGCCAAACAGACTTGGCATGTCTCGACCCGGGAGGAGCCCTGATAGTGGTATCGCCTGAGTGAGGTAAGAAGCCTTCTCTGAGCTGAGTACTCAGGATAAGTAAGTCCAGGCGGCCAGCGCTGCTCAGAGCAGCCAACCCAGCAGCAGGGACCATGGGCCTCTTGGGCCTCCACTCAGGTGTCTCAATAGTTGCCCCCGACACTTCTAGAAGGATTTGGAAAGTTGAGGAATCCTTCAGGAAACCCCACAGCGCTCCTGGAGACTCTTGCCAGGGATGCTCAATGTCTCCAGTGGGTAGACAAGGGGTCACAGACTGATGGTAGAGGCTCCACAATTTCCAGCTCCATATACCACTTTCTCTATGGGGTGGGGGGGTGTGTAGCCTCCTGGGGCCAGGACGTCCCAGCAGGGGAGGACATCTCTTCCCTAAACGAGGTTGAAAGCACTATGGAATTCCCAGAAAAGCTCCTTAATGGCAACAGAGCAGCACAAGAATGTGATCCCCTCCACCCCCAACAGGGTACAGAATGTATACAGCCAAGCCTCTGCTAAAAGCTGAGATTAGATTGTGCACCCACTTCTCCCCAGGAAAGGCCCCCAGCTGGGGTCTGGCCATCAGGCCTCACTCCTGGCTCTCCCAAAGAGCAGGGCAGGTACCAAGGGCCACCCACAGGAACACAAAGTGAGGCTGGAAGAGGCCACTGTCCTCTACCTCTGCCTCCCTAGTTTCAAGGAACAATATTCCCATTTTAAAAGGCCTGACCTCCAGAGGCTTTCAAAAAGAAGTCAGCCGACTTCTGGACAAAGAAGCCAAATTCCCTCACAACCCAGCAAGCATGTCCAAAAGGTTCAGGTGTCTGCCCAAAGGCCCACAAGTGACACTTTTTATGCTTTATGGAGCAAGTTAAGCAACTCACCCACCCCTGATACCTGCTCTATGCCAGGCCACACGTGTTCATGACATTTTTTTCCCCATTCTCCTGTCAACAAGGCTCGCTGAGGCTTGGCATGGTTAGGTGACTGAGCCAAGATTATGGAGCAAGAAATCAGCACAGCATGATTCAGAGCTACACCTGTTATCTGGGAAGACACTAAAAAACTTAAGAACCATGTTTGAGGAAAAAGACTGAGAAGCAAGAGGGAGTTTTGCCTCCTCATACTTTCTAAAACATTTCACTTTCCCCACTATGGGCTCCTAAACCTTTTTAATTTTTTAAACTAATGGGTCAGCTGGAATTATGGGCCTTTTTTTCTTTCAATGCAACTGTATTAAAAATTTGCTAAGTGCTCAATTATTAACTTATTAAAATTATATTATTCTACCACCAAAGAGGCACTCCATTGACTCAAGGAAAAGTAGGGATGCAGACTGACCTCAGACACTGGAAACACTGTCCAGTGGCCCCCCCAGAGACTGGCCTAATCTAACTTTGGAGGAGAGGAGTAAGTAGCGATCAGAGCCCCCGGAGCTGGGTTTGCCTCTTGACTGCCACAGGTGAACACTGTGGGAAGATCACTTAAGAAAATCAAATCTGGGGCACCTGGTTGGCCCAGTTGGTTGAGCACCGGACTCTGGATTTTGGCTCAGGTCAGTATCTCAGGGTCCAAAGATGGAGCCGCGAGGCAGGAGCCAGCTTGAGGATTTCTCTTCCTCTGCCCCTCCCCCTGCCTCGTGCCCACACTCTCCCTGTGATAGATGAAAGAAAGAAGAAAAAAAGGAAGGAAGGAAGGAAGAGAAAACCAAACCGGAATGCTCTGCCCATAAGATAAATAAGTAGGACCATCTCTCCCAGGACCCTTCCCATGTCTTAGCTCTGGAAGACGCACAGTCTTCCTCAAAAGCCCTTCTGACGGTGGCTTCTCCGGGGCTGGGCCACAGCTATTCGGTACCGCTGCTCTGTTCTTCCCACCTGGGGTTTTCCGTCTCCCTGACACACTCATTCCCTCCCAGCTCCCCTCCCTGTTCACAATCCCCTCTGCAGCCTGACAGGACTCTTGAGTTGTAAACTCTGCAGAGGATCCCAAGAGCCCAGGTTAAGACGCCCCGCATCTGGCACGTGGATCCCCATGGGAAGGGGCACTGAGTCTAAGCCCTGCCCCCTCACCCAATGCTCACCTGGTCTCAGGTGAGAGCCTGAGGGGACCACATCACGGTTCTCCTGGTTACAGTCAGTTCTCCCCACAGCTAAAGCTCAGTGTGTCTACAAAATGCCCAGCAGGGGCAAACCAAGAGCAAACTTTGCACACTTTCTTTTCACTCCTCACCAAGTCCTAACGTATCACAGCACAACTCCACCCCCGTCGTCGTGGAAAACATACTGGATCTCCATACCTTCCTTTAAGGTGTCCAAGGCCGCCAGAGGCGGAGAAAGACCCAGGGACCGAAGCCCCTCCCGCGGGCTTCCTGCGTCCGGGGATTAGGAGGCACAAAGGGCCGGCAGAGAGTGGGCCCAGATGGCAGGGGCAGGGACTAAGCCGGCGAGGTAACGAGCTGCGGCCGCTGCTCGCAGAGAGCGGACTACCTGAGACGCGCGTCGCCAGCCTCTTGCGCCAGGGGCCTTCCACGTGGGGCCCAAGGACCCGGGATCCCACCCTCGCTCCTGGTGACCTCCTGCACTCAGCCGGGCCGGGCACTTGTTTCTCTGTTTCCCAGAACCAACACTATTAGACAAACCCAAAGCTCAAATTCAGTAAACGCGGACGGATCAGGCAGAGAAAAGTGCCCAGCCGCAATTCCTACAGGTGTCCTTCGCCCAGACAAACGGAGCCACGGGATCCAGGGCGAGGCGCGCGGCGCGCGGATCCGCGCACAGCTCTCCCGGGGAAAGCCGGGGTCCCGGCCCTCCCCCGCCTGCCCGCCCCGAGTGGAGGGCGCCCCGAGGGGGCGGACCCGGCTGGGTGTTTCCGGGCCCGCGCCTCACCTGGAGCCCCAGGCCGGCCCCCGCCCGAGGCCTCGGCGTCCCACGGAACCGGCCGCCGGCTCCGCTCACTCCGCCGCCGGCCCACGGGCTGCTGGGCGGCAGTCTCCTTCCTGCTCACCTCCGGCGCGGCGAGCAGGGGGCGGAGCCGCTGCTATTTACATAAAGGGCGAGCCGGGCGGTCTCGCAGAGCCGAGAGCGCCGGACCTCGTTGGCCCCGCCCCCGAGACTGGCCCCGCCCCTCCAGAGCTCTCAGCCGACGGGGCGGGAGCGCAGCGAGGACGCCCTCGGGGGGCGGGCGGCGGCCGCTCTGGGGCCAATCCTCGGCCCCGGGGAGCGCGGGGGCGGGACCGCGGCCGGCGTGAATATGCACGAGGCACTGCGGACCCGCCCCCGGCCTCACCTGCGCGCACCTGGACTCAGGACGACACGCCGCGCCCAGTGTCCTGCCGCGTTCGGGAGGAAATAGTCCCTGGGACGCACGGCATCCTGGGCCGCCTCCCAGGCCCGACCGCCGAGGGTAGCCGTCCCTCCCCCACGCCGGCCCGGAGCGGCTGAGGGAGGGACGTAGCCGAGCCTGCTCTTCCCAAGGACGCCCAAACCAATCAGAGCGGGTGACCGGCGGCAACTGGGCCCGGTTTCGGGACCCGAGAACGAGGTGGCCTGGGGACGGGGGCGTCGCCGCGAGGTGCCTCCTCTCGGGGCGGGCCCCAAGCCTGGACCCCGGTCCTCCGAGTCGCTGCGGAGGCAGGAAGGCCCCCAAGGCCCCGAAGGACAGCAACATTGACCAGAGTTTTTAGCACAACTGGGGAGTGAGTTGGAGCGACGAGAGGCGGGAGCGGAAGGGGCGCGGAAGCCAGGGATGCGAATGGCGCGCTCCACAGCACGACCCGAAGCCACTGGGGTTCGAGCTGCGCCGACGTGGCGCCTCTCTGCCGCCCTTCTATCCCGAAGCGGCTGCGTTCAAGGAAAGCCCGATGGAGCGCCAGCCTCCCTCCGCGGACTACCATTCAGAAACCCAAGCTGATTAGGTCTGTGACTTCCCGTCCCCTGAGCGCAGGACCTGAGAAAGGTGCGGGGTCGCGTTCCTGCCCTCCCGGGGAGACTTCTCTTTGCTCCCGCGCCAGAAAAAGCAGCGTTGTCTGCAGGTCGGCAGAACAGGGGTGAGGGTCTGGGGGCCAGGTCCACGGACATCGAGACTTGGGGCGGGGGGGGGGGTAAGGGAGAGAAAGGACGGCTTGAGGCTCAGGCTCGGGACTTGACCACTATCTCCAGCCACAGCAGAAAAGCGATCTATTTTTTAATGGCTTTGGCTTTATCATACGAAGCAGGCACCCTCTCGTTTAAAGGCACAGAGTCCTCTCCTGCCCCACCCCGCTGGGTCTCTGAAATCTAGTCCTGAGTTCCAAGGGGATCACTGCACGACAGCAATCTCAGGCCTGGGACTATGGAAGCCAGGTAGGGGGGGCATGGCTTCGTTCTCCTGCAAGCATCAGACACCCAGGGCCAAGGCCCAGACTAGCCCCTGAAGCTACAGGTCAGGGTCTGGGTATAGGAGGCAGCTGAGATGGTCCCTGAGAGTAGACAGTCCAGGTCCCCCAGAGCAGGTCCCATGCCCTGCCAGAGCAGGGTGATTAGTGTTCCAGATCCCTGGGCAGCGTGAAGTCCCTGAAGCTGTAGAAGGAGATGTCTCCATGATCCACCAGGGCAAAGATCAGAGGAACATCCCCACTCTGGTAGGATAACCGCTTGAGGGTACAGAGGTCTGGAACTGGTTCATCAAATCTGCAGGGATAAAGTTAGACTGAGACGTGGACATGGGCCACCCATAAGCTCTGAGCCCCCAGCCCTCTCAGGCTACCAGAAAGGGAAATCATAAGACAGGAGTTGAGGATGCAAGAAGTCTGGCCTCTGGACTCTCCTATCTGCAAACTGCGTGGCTCTGGTAAGTTCTCCAAGAGTAACCCAGAGCCTTGGTTGGGTACAGGGGCTAGGAAGAGTGAGGTTCTCACCACTTTTAGCCTGTGAATCCCTCTGATTCACATCCCTTCTGCTGGGTGAGCCCTGCAGTAAATTGGCACAGGAGAGACTACCAAAGATGCCAGGAATGAGGGCTCAGGACTTGGGAAGCTCTGGTTCCTATAGCTCTGACTGGCTGTGTGGCCCTGAGTCAGTCACAGCTCTCTGGACCTCTGATTCCTCTCCGATTGGCAAACTGGCCAGGGGCACAGAGGGGAGGTCCACTTGGTTTACAAGAGAAGTGGCAGCAGCCTGGGGGTGAGTGCTCACTGGTCTCATACCCACTAATGCACATCCGGGCGTAGGGCTTGCCAGGGTTATTCTTTCGGAATGTGGCCACGGCATCAGCCTGGTAAATGTCAAAGCTGATCTCCAAACCCCCAGACTTCTCCAGCAGCCTGAGGACAGAGTGAGAAACCTTAAGAAACAGGGACTGCCCTCCTCCTCCTTTCCATGCCATGCTTTCCCTCCCGCAAATCCAAAGCAGCCTCATCCAGGGGAAATGAGGTCCTGCTGTGAAGTGCCACTTGGGCAGGGGGAGGTTCAGATGCCTATCTCAGAACCCTCGGGCTAAATCCACCTCTTGCCTTTCACCCCTCCCTCTACCCTAGACACACACGAATATCAGCCAGGCTAAGGGGGCCCTGGAATGATCCCCCAGCTCATGTCCAACTGAGTCAAGTCCTAGCTGCCAACTCCTGCTGGCAGCCAAGGTACTCTGGAGACAGGCACTACCTGGAGACTCACCGGGCACCTCCATCAGCAAGGTGTGTGGTCTGCAGCACAGAGATATGCTGAAGGGCTGTGGCTGCAAGGACAGTGAAAATAAGGTATTGGGAGGGAAGTCACCATCTACAGACTCCTCTGAAGTTTCTGATTCTGTCATCTAGTTTAGTGTTGCCAGACTTAACAGATTAAAAAAAAATTGTCGGTATGTCCCATGCAATATTTGGAATATACTTATACTAAAAAAAAAATTAGCTGGGCGCCTGGGTGGCTCAGTCGTTAAGCGTCTGCCTTCGGCCCAGGTCATGATCCCAGGGTCCTGGGATCGAGTCCCACATCGGGCTCCCTGCTCTACGGGAAGCCTGCTTCTCCCTCTCCCACTCCCCCTGCTTGTGTTCCTGCTCTCGCTATGTCTCTCTCTGTCAAATAAATAAATAAAATCTTAAAAAAAAAAAAAATTAGCTGATTATCTGAACTTCAAATTGAACTCATCTGGCAACCCTAGTCTAGTTACTTAGAATCTCCCACGTTCTCCTAAGGACTGTAAAGAATTCTGAATCTCTTAATACTGTTCTTGCCCTGTTAGTTCCCTATTCCTAAACATGCAGGGCATACACAGTAAGCCTTCCTTTTATTTGGCCACAATGGTGCCTCCTTGCTCCCCTCACAGAGTTGGGAGAACAGGGATCACAGCTAGTTGGTGGCAGAGCCATCCACATGCATCTTGTTTATTAAGGATATAGTTGTAGTTTCATTCCCCCTCGCCTCTTCCCGGACACAGACTTGCCGTTTCCAAACCTTCCCACATGGGTCCCTTTGCTGCTTTCCAGGAGAACAGACTGTCCTTGTGGGTTCCACTCCACCGGACAGCTCTCTCCGTCCCATCTTTCTTAAGCCTCAATTAGCCATGGCCAATCCATGTCCCTTTCAAGGTCTTATGATGACTCAGCTGCCGGGGGCCTGTGGGGCTTTGGCAGAGTGAGGGGCTACCTGGGGAGTCTGCCTGGCCAGGACTCAGCAAGGGTCTGACAGGCTGGTCCCACAGGTGCGGGGGGCGGCTCTGGCTCTTCTGCAGGTGCCTCCTCTGCAGCAGCTCCTTGTACTCCTGCCAGCTGGAGCAGCACCGCACCTCGGGATCCGAGTTTACATCCTCCCGGAAGCGCTGAGCTTCTGCTCGTTGCTCCCGTTCCCGCCTGGAAAGCTTCTCCTTCCTTTGGTTCAGCTTCTGGCACCAGGATTCAGCATCTGTCTCCCGCCCAGCGACGTTGGCCGGGAGCAGCTCTGGGGCTGGGGCAAGCAGAAGGGTGTGGCGGCTATCTGAAGCCATGTTGGGGAAGGAGATCTGTTCAAAGTTCCAGCGTGGCTTACAAACCCCCTTGACCCCGTTCTCTACTTTGCCACTCTCCTGGCTGCACCCCACCCCCTTGTTAGCCAGGTCAGGCCAGGGCTCCAGGGATCCCAGAAGCTGAGATGGGCCCACTGGGCCCTTTACAGGGCTTGACTCCTGAGGTTTCTCCTCTACGCATCGGCTGTCCTCGTTGCAAGGAGGTGGGCTGGAGGTTGTCAGGCTCTCAGGTGTCTCATTCACCCCCTGTGGGGGATTCTCCAGGGCCTTGGCCTTCTTATTAATGGACCTGAGGGACGTGGGGGGGAAATTCAGCACGCCTGCTCCTGATATCTGAGATGCACACGTCCCACACATATCCTACTGCCTCCAGGATCCTGCAAGGGAGCCACCCAAGCCCAGCTCTTAAGCCAATGCATTCTCCAAGGTCCCCCAAAATGAGCACTCCCTTAACAGCTCTGCTCCCCAGAACTCCCTGGGGGGGGGTGGCCATGTGGGGAGCATTACCGAGAGCTGGAGCTCCTCCTCTTCCTCTTGCCATTCTGATCCTCTAAGCACTGGCCACTGCCATCCAAGTTCAGCTGTCTCTCATAAGGGGACAGGATGGAGCTGTGGGGTGAGAATTGGGTGGGCAACAGATCCACTTCCTCAGCCTGGAGTTCCCAGTGGAATTTGTGAGGAACTGGTCCAGAAGACAAGTCAGTGGGCCAGGGTCAAAGCCAAACCCAAAGGCTAAGTCCCTGGGCAGACCTGCAAGCAGGGTAAATGGGGACAACCACAAGGGCCTGCCCATGTGTCTTTGCCCAGGCTTCTGGGTCTCACCAATGGCCCCTTTGAACAGAGACTTACTGGAACCGGGGCTCCTGCAGAGCCAGCAATAAATGATTAATCACTAGTGAGAAAAATCAAGAGACCAGAAAACTTGGAAAATACAGAAAAATAAAAATACGCATAAACATCTTTGGTTCTTATAAACACACATCCTATCTCCATATGGTTTTTTTTTTTCTATCAGAAATTACATTGTACTGGGTGCCTGAGTGGCTCAGTCAGTTAAGCATCTGCCTTCAGTTCAGGTCGTCATCTTGGGGTCCTGAGATCAAGCCCCACATCTGAAGTACCTGCTCAGCAGGGAGTCTGCTTCCCCCTCTCTCTCTCTCTGCACCCCCACCCCCGGCTCCTGTACTTGCCCACTCTCTCTCTAATAAAATCTTTAAAAAAAAAAAAAAAAACCCTTATACTAACATACTGCTGTTTAATCTCTTACTCTCAATAACAAACTATGGACATAGCCCCTTCTGACTATAGCATTCTTCCCTACCATAATTTTCTTATGGTGCTAAGGCTACACCGTCCAGATGGTACCCACTAGACACAAGGGATAATTTAGGTTAAATTTAAATCCATTAAAATTATGTGTGCTGCCGAAGCAAGCACTAAATCCATTAAAATTAAACAAAAATTCAGTCCCACAGTTGTACAAGGCACATATATTGGACAGCAGAGATCTGGAAAGCTTTTATCACTGCAGAAAGTTCTACAGGACAGCTTCTCTAAGGGACAAACTCAATTTTGTGTGACCATGCCTTCCCCATTGAACTCACAGGATGTTTCCAAGTTCACCAATTTTGCAAAGTGATAATGTTTTGGGTAAGCTGCCCACTAAATGCAAGTTCTGTGGGGGCAATGATTTTGCTGAAATTCCTCAGCAACGAGCACAGGGTCTGGCACCCAGTAAGGAATCAAAATATTGTCGAATGAATGAACATTCTTACAGGTGAACTTACACACACATCTGTGCCTACTTCCTTGGGGTATATTCTAGTTTTAGGAACTAAATGGTATACCTGTTCTAGAGCTTTCGTGACATACTGTGAAACAGTAAAGAGTATACCAGTTTCCATCCTTGGGCCCATGCGATGGTCTCTGTGGCTCTTAGCAATGCTAGGCTACTAAGGTGATCATGTTTACAGGCCCCAGAAGGAAAGAACATATGACATAGCCAAAGGAATGTGAGACCCTACTCAACTGTTAATTCCTCACTTGGCCCTTCATTCATGTATGCACTAGATAAATCTGCTTACACACCCACTGAGGCACTGTTTTGGTATTCCAGCTACGTGCCAGTGCACTGTTGTGAGCTGTAAGTGCTCAAATGTTATCTGCGGAGTGAACAGGCTGAAGATGGGGCTCAATTTGACAACCCAGGATAAGCTGAAATGACCCAGACTTGTCCCAATGTGCCTCTCAATAGAGCACTTCCAACAGAGGTCCGGGGAGCTGCAGCTCCAGCCAAGGATTCCAGGTCAAGAGAGGCCATTTTCCACTTTGGGGCTACTCTACAGGTCCCAGGACTGGAACAAACAGGAGGGAAATGGGATCGGGATTTACCTTGGTTGGAATCGTCGAACCACGTAGCCCAGTCTCTTCAGGTGGCTGAATGCCTCAAAGAGAAAAAATAAAGATCAGAGTTCCACTTTTGAAAACACCAAATAGTTCCTCCAAACAGGAGCCACTCCCCATGCCCCCTCCTCTGCTCCTCCTGCACACCCCAAACCCAGACCCTGGGATTGGTTGGACCATACTCCATTATAAACACCCTCCCCAAACTAAGGTCTCAGTCTCTGAATTCCTGTCTCTTGCTTACCTTACTCTAGGCACAAATGACATTTAGCAACTTCTTGATTTAAATGCAAAATCCCCAAAAAGCTGATAGCTGATGAATCAGGAAAAGAACTACACGCTAGAATGTTATGATACCAAAGCTGTCCGGAGCGAAGCTCCTGACCACAGTGTGAACAAGGAAGTGGCAAAAGGTGGTAGACAGCACACCCCCATCCTGCCACTCCACCCTACACCTCCACAGACGGGGGTAGGGTAGGACTGGTCTTTGGTAAAGATCCTTGTGTTCTAATATCCGTATCAGAGAGATGTGCGCAGGAATGACCCCAACCTGCTTGATCTCTCAGTAGCCTTCAACATAGCCAATCATTTTTTCCTTCTTTTGGCTTCTGTGATACCACCTCTCCTGGTTTTTCTCCTATGTTGTCAGACACTCCTCGGTCTGTTTCTGGTTCCTTATCTTCCCCCTGACCTCCTCACACTGGAATGCTCCAGGTCTCAGACCCAGCCCTCTATTCTGGCCACATTCCCATACAGCCCTGTGGTTTTAAAGACGATCCACGCGTTCATGATGTCCACATTTATGTCTCTAGCCTTGTGCCCCTCCCCTACTTTGTCTTCTTCCCAGGCCTCAGTTCTGTGAGGTCAGTCATTCAGTGACTTGCTTACTTATTCCCAAATGCCACCACTAGGATGCAGGCACCACGAGGGAAGAGCCCTTGGCTGTCTTGTAGTCCCAGCACATAGCTCTGTGTCTAGCACCTCATGGGTACTTATAAATCCTCACTGACTCAGTGGATGGGTGGTCCCTCCCCTGGGAGAGGGTGGCAGATACCTGGTACTGCAGAAAAGTCATAGTGTCCTCAGTCAGCAGTAGCTGGTAGGCCTCCTGAATAGACAGTGGCAGATCTTGGTGGAAAAGCTGGATGGAGCCCTGGAAATGGGGCCAACAGCTCAGCTTGTGGACCCTTCTGCAGTGGCTCAACCAATGGGGCAACATCCAGGCGGTGATACATGGGCGCCCTTCCCTCCCCCTCTCCCCCGCCCCCAGCGTCACAGCAAGAATGTGGCCAACCAGGAAAGGAGGGCACCACCACTAATTTAGAGGAGAATCCCCGCTCTCTGCATGGTATTCTTGTCTCCGGTTCTAGAATTAGGGTTACAAGCTTCTTGAATCCTCAGTTGTGCATATACTTTTACTCTTAATAAAAACACGTCCTTTCGGTTCCTTGCTCCCAACCCTTCCTCACCCTCCGGGGGCCCCACTCACACACTCCAGCAGATATAAGGCCTCTTCGGGGTGAAGTCGCTGCCGGCCCTGCTCTGAGAAGCCCATGGTCTGCCAGAATTTACCCTGTGTAGAACCCGGAGCAAATGTCACAAAGGAGCTAGGAAGGCAGAGAAGGCGGATCCCTCTCCCCGAGCCCCGCCTCTCACCGCGGGAGACTTCAGTTCCACGAAGCCCTCTTCTGGCCTCCACTCGGCAGCCACCAAACTGCCCCTGCCGAAGAGTGGGGAGGGGGTCCGTCTGAGTCCCCCCGTGAAGTCGACGGGGTCCGGCCGTCCCGCCTGCCCCGGCCCCGCCCCGGCCCGCCCCCCTCACAGGCGCTCCACGCGCTCCTCCGCCAGCAGCTGCCAGAGCTCCTCGCGGCACACGCGCAGCCGCTCGGCCTGGGCCGCCGAGCCGTCGGGGAGGAAGTCCTTGGGCCCATGCGAGCGCTGAGGCAGCTTCTGGGACCGCGAGCGGGCAGCGAGGAGCTCCCGGGCACTGGAGAAGGAAGAGACGCGGGGTCAGCGCGGCGCACTCGGAGCCGCGCGGCCCCGTCCGGGATTCCCGTCCCCTTCCCCCGCGCCCTCTCCGCGTGCCCGGCGCCTCCGCGAGCCGGACCGCACCAGAGCACGCGCCCGGCGGGAACCTCCACAGCAGCAGGGTCGAGCTCAGGCTCCATCGGGCCGCCGTCTGCGGCTGCGCGCGCACCGCCCCCGACCCGCCCACCGCCGGAACTCCGCGCGGCCCTAAAGCCCGCAGATCCGCCCTCCGCTCCACCAGCCTCCCGCTCGACCAACCGGCTTTCCACCTTCCTGGCTGTCCTAGAGCCTGCCAACAGACTTATGCCTCGATTCCGGGGGCAGAGATTGCAGGTTTCTGGATTTATAGGAGCTCCCGTCTCCTCCCCAGCCCTCCCCTGGTCTCCTCTCTAGTAAAAATTGAGGAACACGGCGTCTGAGAGTGTAGGATGGACAGTCAAATGCGTGACCCTCCCCTCCGCAGCCCTGGGCTGCTTAGTCTCCACCACTTAGGCTGGACAAAGAGGAAAGAGGGAGGGTTTAGAGAAGGGAGAGTAGTAGGTTCCCACACTCCAGCCTCGCAGACTGGCCACCGGGGGCTGTCAGATGCGGTCTGGGTAGGTTCGGAGTTCCTTCTGGGTCTTCCGTTGGGTCCCTTCCGAGGGGCTCGGAAGACGGGTTTCGAGGGGTGGGGGCGGGAGGAGCTGTCCGGCCCACGATGGTGCTGAAGCGCCACTCCAGCCTGTCATTAGCACCCCCTCGAGGCTGGGGTCCCCGCCGCTGCCACCGTGGGCCTCTCCGACATGGTCCGCTAGGTGGCACCATTGCTCCAACCAGCGGCTGTGAGTCGGTGGACTCTGGTCGCGGGCGGAGGTCAACGTGGGAATCCCTGGAGGGGCGAGGGGCGAAAAGGAAGGGGGGCTTCCCAAGTGGGGTCCCCAGGTCTTGGTTTCCAGACCCCTTCACATCACGTCTTCTCTCCCACTCAGTCATAAACGGGGCATCTCACCCTTGGGTTTGAACTCTAGAACCCCAGGTCGCGGCGGCTCCGCAACCGCGTTGCAGGGCGCGCGCTCTGGCCCCTACCACGCCGCTTCACCTGGGCGCATGCGCTGACCCGGCCAGCGTGCCCGGTCCGGACGAAAGCGGTGGGGGCGGGGTCTGGTACGGATGGGGGCGGGGCCGCAGGCGCTGACTGACAGCCCGACTGCGCGGCCGGGACGGTCCCTCCGCTCCCGATCCGGCGGGAGGGAGGGGGGAGGGGCGGGATTTCCTGCGGGAGGCGCCGAGCCGGTCTTGGAAAAGGAGGAGAAGGAGGAGAAAGGGGCTAAGGGGGTCAGTTGGAGCCACCGTCCAGAGTGCCAGGGACCGAGCAGGGCCAGCCAGACCCCCGGCGGGGCAGCTGGGAGAGGTGAGACTGCGGGGCCTGCGCGGGGGGTTAGCACCTTTGAGGGCGGGCACAAACTAACTTTTCTTTCGGGATCGGCGGGCGCCTTCGTCTCTCTGCTCCTTCCGTCTTCCTCGCGCCTCTGTTCCGTCCTCCCGCATCAGTCCCTCCGGCGCTTGGCTCTCCTGGTCGCTCCCGCCGCTTTGTTCCCCGGGTCGGCCTGGGTTGGGCTGGGCTGGGGGATTGCGCGGCGCTGGACGGGCATTCCGGGGGGCGGGGGAGCCATCCCGACCCCAAGCATTACCAGGGGCGTCCTCCTCCTGTGTCGGCTGCGGGCAAGAGCAGGAGTGCCCTCTGGGTTGGGCTTGGGACGTTCTAGGAGTAAGGAGACCCCAGCTAGGGCCCCAGGCCTGCACGGGTCTCATGCCACAGGGCTTGGGCAACAAATTCCTGGCCACTGAGAACTGACGTAAGCTTTTCTGCAGCTAAGTCCGGGCCCGGGCCTCGGGTTCAGGCTTGGGGGGCCAGGCAGCCCCATCGGCCAGCGTGCCCCAGCTCTTGTCTCTGTTCTGTGCCCAGCTGCTTTCCCATCCCGCACAAGGGGTGAGGATGGGTCAGCAACAGGTGCTGTAAAGCCTCCCTGTCCAGCAGTCAGACCCCCGCCAGAAATGGGGAGCTATAAGCTCCCCACTCCACCCTCTGAATTCGTAAAGAGCCTGGGGCTAGGGCATCTAGCTATTATAGTAAAGCTTAGATTGGGAGGAGTCTAGAGCAGGCACCTTCCATAGGGAGTGACCCTTGCCTGTCTGCCTGGGCCTGGCCCTTCCAGGCCCCACCTCCTGGCCCACCAGTTGTCTGTGGGTGTCAGAGCCGCAGGCTGTGGAGAACAGGCTGCTGGCCCAGCTTGCCCCAGTGTGTCGTGCTGCCAGGGCCCCTCCTGCCCCAGGTTGAGGTGCTGCCAGGTGCCCTGGGGCCTCAGTGACTCAGCCCAGAAAGTCACTGCCTCCCCCCAAATACTCCTCTCATGCCTGGCAGTTGTCTTCCTGCTCTGAGTGGCTTGGCCCTTCCTTGACTCAGAAGGGCAGCTAGGGTGGTTTGGGGGCTCCCTGGAAGCCCTGTCCTACCCTTCTGAGCCCTGCTTCTGGGACCCTTGCAGGCCTGGCCCCGCCTTCAGCAGAGGCACTGCACCTTTTTCCAGACCCCTGAGACGTGTCCATTGCTGCTTCCTGAGGCCGGAGGGAATGCTGACTGCGCTCTGGGTGGGCATTGGTGCTCCTGAGCCACGCCGGGAAGATTGGCGTGCCCAGTCCCAGCCCATCCCTGGGCCGTCCGACGCGGCAAGCAGATATCTGTCCAGGTTTCCACGCGGCCTCCACCCCCCCAGAGATCGGTGTTCCTGCTTGTGGTGGCTGCTCATGAAACACTTTGAGGGAGTACCCGTCAGTGCCTAACAAGAAGCCCACTGCTTGGGACACCAGACACGCTCCCCCAGGACGCCTGGCCCTCCAAAGGGCCAAGGCATGGCACCCTGACGCCTTGGCTTAGACCTAAAGTTTTCCTGCCTCTGCCCTGGACTCCTGATCCCAGAGCCCAGCCCAGGGACCGGAATGGGTCGTGAACAGGATCTGATCCTTGCCGTCAAGAACGGAGATGTGACTGGTGTGCAGAAACTGGTGGCCAAGGTCAAGGCCGCAAAGACAAGTGAGTGCTTTGGTGGGGTGACTGTCTAGCTGAGACCCTGCCCTGAGTGCTCAGGCTACAGAGAGAGGCTTGGGGGTCACTGTGATCTGGGGACTTGGGGTGGGAGGACTGTCCTGTAAGGAATGCCTCTGTGGGAGAGCCACAGAGGAAATTGGGTCACCCCTTGCTGTGTATCCTTAGGCAAATCACTTAGCCTCTCTGGGCCTCAGTTTCCTCACCTGTAAAGTGAATGGGTTGAAATACATTCATTCGAGTATTTTTTGAGTGCCTACTGTGTGCCAGGCTTTGTTCCAGGCACCAGGCCATTATGTGGCAGCAGTAAATAAAACAGACCGAAATTCCTGCTCTCGTGGAGTTGCCTTTAGCAGGTGGTTTTTCTGATGTGTTCTCTGGAGGCAGGAAATTTCTGGCGGTGGGGCTGGGAAAGACTGAATAGCTAGAGTTTCAACCCCATCCCCCAATTCAACAACAGCAAATCTGCATTTATGGCAGCTTAACGGGGATACCCATAAGATAACTTTTATTTTTTTAAAGATTCTATTTATTTATTTGACAGAGAGAGACACAGCTAGAGAGGGAACACAAGCGGGGGGGGGTTTGGGGGGGAGAGGGAGAAGCAGGCTTCCCGCTGAGCAGGGAGCCCGATGCGGGGCTCGATCCCAGGACCCTGGGATCATGACCTCAGCTGAAGGCAGATGCTTAACTGACTGAGCCACCCAGGTGCCCCCATAAGATAGCTTAAAAAAAAAAAAAGAGCTCTACTGCTTAAAGCAAAGTTCATCACTGTCTCAGTGCTTGCTAAAGCCCCTTCCCCTTGACTTACCTACCTGTGTCCCCTGGGGATGTGTGGCCAAAGCTAACTTTCTAGAGGTTTCTCCAAAGCCCAGATCTCCAGTCTTGACAGGGTTGTGGGGGCTCCATGCATGGGTAGCCACACCTGAACCCCATCTCTTGGGTACCTCTGTGGTGAGATCCCCCTGACCTCTGGGCTTCAAGGCGAGTTCTCTGAGCTGTCCCAGAAGGACACTGTACTTGTCCCCTGAGTTTCTAGACAAGCAGGGGCAGGAGGTAGCTCCTGCCACCAGACTGGGGCTGGGGGAGGGAGGGTTCCCTCAGAGTGCTGGGGCTCTAGCCTCAAGACACACCTTGGCCCTGTGCACAGGAAGGGGCCCCCAGACTATGTGAAGACATTTAATTATCCTCACCCACACCTGGGAGTTTGGGGTCCCAGAAGGACGGATTTGAAGGACCTGGGAATTGTGTACATGTGTGTGCACCCACTTGCACACCAGGGCAGGAGATCCAGGGTATGGGGAGAAGGAGCTTGGCTGGGGGGAGGGGGGAGGACAGGTGGTGTGGTCTCTGTGCCCTGGGGAAGTGGATACTGGGTGAGCACGATGGAAGGAAGGTGCCAAAGAGGTCCTGGGAGGGCCCTGGAGGCCCAAGAGTGGGAGCCACTCCCCCTCCTCCCCTCACCTCTGTGTTGTTTTTGGCGACCTGCCCAGTAGGGCCTTGGTTGAGCTGCTGCTGGCCTCACAGCTCTGGGGCCTCAAAATGAGGCCCTCAGGAGGGCTAGCGGGTGGGATCTGGAGGCTGGTGGCGGGAACCTCACAGCCAGGCTCCTAGGCTCTGGAAGGTGCCCTGTGCCCCAGGGGAAATGCCTGTGGGGGGAGAGATCCCTTCCCTCAGCTCCAAAGAGGACTTGTACATGGTGTAGGCATGGGCACAGAGTGACAGGGTCCTGGGACTCCTTATGAAGCCCTGGCACGGAGCCTCCCCTCCCAGTCCTCTGAGAAGCTGGGAAGGCTGGTGTAAAATGGAGATCACAAGGTGATGTTTGCAGATCCTACAGTTGATGAAATTTTCTAAGCCCTCGATTCCCTGTGAGATGGGTATTTCAGTATCTCCTTTACAGATAATTGACACTCAGAGAGGATTAGCGAGTTGCCCAAGGTCACACAGCCATTATTTGGTGGATCAGAATCAAGTTCCTGTCCTCTCCCCTCTGCTCCTGCACGTGGCTGCCCATCAGAATTACCTAGCGATTGTTCTGAAAATGCAGATTCCCTGTTC